TGTAAATCACTAAGTCAAAAAATAGCAACAAAGCAAATAAGTAATTTATTTATAAGATATAATAGGAGAAATACTTTGGATGATCTAACAAAACTTAGAATAGCTCAAGAGTATCAGAAAGCAGATCTAATAAAAAATATTTGAAACTCTGAGAGAAGACCAGATAAAATAAAGTATTGGAAATACAATTTAATTTGTCAGACAATAACTAAAGCAAAAGAGATGAGAATAAACATTCAAGCAGAAAATTATTTATAAAAGGTATATAATTATGAAATGAGTATAAGTAACTTAGTTAGGAGTAAATCATGAATAGCAAGTAGTAGCATAATAAATAAATGAGATTTAATATATTTGAACCAACTCGTGAATATAAAAGGAGAGAATCTAATTATATAGAGACAGTTCAAAAGTCTTCTAAAGCTGTTATATAAAGGGAAAAAAGCCAAATAGTTTAGCAAAATAGAAAAAAAGATACTAATAACACAGACAAATAGAGAAATACACAACCAATACAAGATTAGTAATCACAATATATAGGCATTAATGATTAACTAAACAAAGATATTGGAAGATAAAAAAAAGAAAAAGTGAATTGTATATAGATCAAAGCATAATCAGCAACTCAGTAAGATATCAAAAAAGAAAAAAAAATCTTTATAGAGCATTAGTTATTGCAAAAAGTAGAAGACAAGATATACACTAAGATAAGAAAATATAAAGGATATAAAAGCAAAACAGAACAAATAAAAGATAACTATAAAAAGTGAATAAAATAGAACAATAATATAAAGATAATCTCTAAAACACTAATAAAGAAAAGTAGTAACAAGATTAATACAAAATTAGAACAAATACTAGAAAACAAAATAATAAAAGAATGAAGAAAAGAAAAAAAAAGTCTAATAAGACTAAAACAAATAGAGGAATTAGAGATAAAATTAATCAAAAAACAAAGATTAGATAGTAAAATTACAGATTACTTAATAAGAGTTTTAACAAGAAACAAAATAAGAAACAAAGACAAATATACTCTTTATACAGATGGAGCATTAGGTAGAGAAAAAGAGAAAAATAATATAGAAAAGATGAGCATTAATTAAATGCAGGTCAGTAATGGTAAAACTGGCCAGAAGATGAAATAGCCTTGGGACTTGAAGGTTGATCTTCAATAACAACAACAGAATTAATAACAATATGATTAGTAATTTTAATTATACCAGAAAAGAAGAATATAGAAGTGAATACAGATAGTCTCACAGTATTAAGAAACATTAATAAAATAATTCAAGAAGCAGAAAATGATAAAGTTTTTTAAAAAAAAATAATATAGATAATAAATATTTTAGATTTACTCAAAAGTAAAGACAATAAAATAGAACTAATTAAAGTTAAAAGTTATAGTAATGACAAATAGAATGACAGAACAAATTTATTCATAAAAAAAAGAGTAATATATAAAAGAATAATATCTACAAAGAGGATCAAATGTAATAAAATAGAGTATTATCTAGAATAGAAAAACAAAAAAGTTAATATACCAATAAGTCTTTTTTATAAAATAGTTATAAATATTAGAATTGAAGTCAGTTAGAGAGAAACAAACCCAATTCGAATATTAGAACCAGAAACTGAGAACACTTGATATAATTGGTCAAATTTTTGAAAGAAGATGAATAGAACAAAAGGTGTATACTATACATCAAAAAAACTTAGTACAAGAAGAGCAACAGTGATGAAATACATAATAGATAACCTGTCAATATTAAAAGAATTAAATAGAAAAAGATCAAAAATATATATAATAACTGAATACCAAGTGTATCAAAAAGACAAAAAAGAAATTTAAACATATTTAGCAAGTTGTATTGAACAAAAAAGTTTATAGAAGAGAATCCAAAAGGTAACAATGACAGCAGTATGGAATAATCTTAAAAAAAGTAAAAAAATTAAAATTCTATCTCTAATGTTATATAAGACACTATTTGAAAAAACAGAAACAGAGGAAATCACTAATAGAAAAGCTTTGATAAAAGGACTAATAACAAATGAGATTGGAAAAAAAATTAATCAGATTATAGACAGATAGACAACACAAAAATACATAGATATAGTAACAAGAATAATATGAAATACTTTTTATAACCAAGTATAAAGAGTTTAATATAGAAAAGTACAATAATAAGAAAAGAAGATTAATATAACAAACAAGATAAAAAAAGATGTTTGAACTAAAAAAAGATTAGAAAAAAGAACAAGGAAGAATAAGTCAATAAAGAAAGAAAAGAAAGAAAAGAAGATAGAAAAAATGAACTGAATAAAGAAAGAAGCTTGAAAGACAATTGATATGTTTGTCACAAAAAGAAAAAAACCTTTCTGGTATAGCTTTAAGTAATTAAATGAGCAGTTTATCTCTAACTAAGATAGTGTGACAGATTGCACTTAGGTACCAATAGGGTAACCAAATGATGCTAGACTTGAGTATTAAGAAATTCTATGTAATTATAAATATATATAATTTCAAGAATCTTAATAAAGTACTAGTGTAACTGCTTAAGATTAAAAAAAAAAAATTAAACATCAAATTTATATATAATTTAAACTTATTGTACTTTATCCTTAAAATAAATTGATTTTTTATATGAAAAACTAAATGTATTATTCATAAATCTAACTAAAAAACTTATAACTTTGCAAATTTCAACACATTAATTAAAAAGATCTTTATATATAACTAACTAAATAACAGAAATGAAAAGTATACTATGCTGTGGTTATTTTAAACATTAAAATCCTTTGTATTCATCAGCTAAATGAGCAAGAAACAAAGTTGAAACATTCATGAACTTAAATAACTTATTTAAACAATTGATCAAAAAATCTTTGTACTTAAATTAACATGAATAAATAAATAATATTCAGAAATGATTCTGAAAATCAACTAGTCTTTTCTTTAAAAAAACAAAACAAACAAAACAAAAAATACCTAATTTAAATATATTATCTTATTCTAAGTCTCTAAATTTTTCTTTTCCAAATTCCTGACTAAAGCAATCATGTTTTACATTCGTTGATAATAAATTTTCAATAGCGAATAAATGTTATAGTCTTAATGCTGCCTACTTAATAGAATCAAACAAAATTACATGAACAGTACTATGTGTTAATATTTATTTCTAAAAAGCTTTATATTCAACAAAATTAACGCGAACAAGTGTATATTCAACTAATTAAATTAATAAAATGAACGATCACAAACTTGAATAACTTATTTAATTATCACTTATTTAATTAATTAACAAGCTTAATACGAATCAATATGAGGCACTGAATAACTATATATAATTTTAGCTAAATAGCGAAATAACTCACGTGTTTGGTTCAGTTATATTTTTGTGAATTCAACGCAACAGAAATTTTCGAAGTAAAAATGAAAGTCAAAATAAAGTTAAAGTCGAAACGAAAGATAAAGCGAAAGTCATAGTGAAAGCCAAAATGATAGTTAAAATGAAAGAAAAATTAAAGCAAAAATTAAAGAATCAAGGCGAAAGCCAAAGCGAAAGTCAAACAAAAGTCAAAACAAAGGAAATGATAAACAACTTTACTGCAATCAGTTTTCGAAGTTACAACTATTTTCTCTGGCCAACACTATGCAAGTAATGTGGCTTAGTCGCCCAGCATAGCTCGGAGATCGGACAGGCCCTAATTTATAATAAATTTTGATTTTGGGCCGCTATATGTAAGAATTTTTATTTTGGGCCTTCATCCGTAATTATTTTCATTTTTGGGCTTTTTTATGTGTAAATTCCCCAAAAATAAATCAAAAGAAAAAATTAAAAAAAAAGAAAATTAAAAAATAAGAATTTTATTTTTTTATCACCATAGCGATGTAATTGCTATCTCTCTGAAACTTAGTTCCAATAGTCAAGCTCTGCTTTGATTAGTGATATACATTACTAATCAAAAGTGGTGCCTGAATATTGGAACTCCGACATCACACGGCACGACAGAATTTTGATTTTCGGAATTAGGATTTTGACTTTCAGAATTTTGACATAGACTCGGGGTAGTAATACATCGTTATAACGATAAATTATAAAGCCCTAAAAAATATATACCAAAAAAAAGATTCCTGGTTGGATCTAAACGATTCGGATGATCCCGAGTTTGATCCAAATGATTCTGAATTGGATTTAAATGACCCCGGGTTGGATCTAAATTAGATCTAAGTGAACCCAGGTTGAACCCAGGTTGGTCCTGGGTTGGACCAAGTTGAAACCAAGTTGAATGCAAGAGATCCCAAGTTGGATCCTAGAGAACACAGGTTGGATCTAAGTGAACCCAGGTTGGACCTAAGTGAACCTGAGTTGGATCCAAGTAACTCAGGCTAGATCCAAGTAAACCCAGGTTAGATCCAATCAAACCCAAGTTGGATCCAAGTAACCCTGAACCTAAGATCTAGATTAACTAAAGTTCAAACGCCTGACCTGAGACCTAGTTTAGAACTATAATCATGTATCAACTCGGCTGATTTAAGGAATTTGACCTTTATTTAAATCCCCATATATATTTAACATTTGGGTTTCCAATTATTACTTATCGGACATAAATTGAGATTTTCGAATAAGGGTCCAATTTTAAAATGGATTTATGGATATTGTTTTTTTTTCATATAAATTTATTAAAAAGTTTTAACATGCCAGAACATTGAATAAAATGTACAATGCTGGTTATAAATACATATTTATATATAAGTGTATTACGGGACGCAAATTACTAACTCTTCCTCTGATAAAAAACTGACTATTCAATATAAAAATTGTCAGCCAAATTAATTCATCGGCCTTAAATTCAACGATCTAAACTACACCACAAGATCATGCAGGGGGTGGATTTAAAATTCATACACTAAAAGGTATTGGCACAATTTTTATGAATTTATTTTAAGCATAATGGTAAAGAATCATGTTTTTTAATTAATTAATCGATTCGCGATTTCTTCACTCTTCTGGAATTTCCACGATATCCGCCGGAACGCTGACAATTGCTATTTTTGACAATGCTTTCGTGACGTCTTGTACGTTAATGCGTTTTGATGTGTATTTATTATTATCTGGATGTTTTGGCACGATATTTGGTGGTTTTTTATCCATCTTGTCAGCTTTATCCATCTTATCAGCTTCTAAGAATTGATTTTTAATTATTTTATTTTTGTTTTCATGCGCAAGTTCATCGATCCAAGTAGTAATTAACGCATTAATATATGTAGCAGTAGGTCTCTCTTTTGGTTCAGAGTCCATGCATTTCTTAGCTAATTCAACGTAACATTCTGGATCCCCGGGTGCGAATTCCGGTCGCAATCCCCTACAAATCTTTATTGTTAGCTTGGTGTTAAATTCGTAACCATTGAAGCTTCTTCACCCGTTAAGATTTCCCACATAATTACACCAAAAGAATAGATGTCTCTTGCTTGTGTAGACAGTTGACCTGATAAAACTTCTGGTGAAATATAAGGTAAAATTCCAACAATTTCGGTATCGTTTTTAACAGGCGATGTAAGACCTAAATCCGTGATATATGCATTATCTAAATCATCTTGTAAGATGTTACCGCTATGTAAATCTTTATGAATATATCCTTGTGAATGAACAGCTTCAAGATCAGATATTATGCAACTTAATAAATTTAATTTCTTTTCCCATTTCATTCTTGATATTTCATGAAGATTATTACGTAAAGAACCCTTTTTTGCATATTTCAAAATAAGAATGTAATTTCCTGAATCATCTCTCGATAGTCCATAGCATCTTAAAAACGATGGATTTTTATATCCAATCTCACAAAACAATTTCAACTTTAAAAAAAATAAAATATTAATTATATAATTTAAACATTAAATAAACTCAATAAATTCATTTACCTCATCAAAAAAACTCTGATCATGAATCATTTTAAATGCGAATGAATAGTTTATATTGGAGGAATCCTTATAATAAATTCGGAAATTAGCAAGATAAACGGTCGCAAATCCACCTTTTCCGATCTTCTCAATATCTTCGAATTTATCATATGGGATCCACAATAATTGATATTTCTCATCTTCCAATATTTTTTTAACGTTATCATCCGTGCCAGCATAAGAGAATTTCTCTATTTCTGTTTAAAATCAAGTTGAAAATATTAAACATCAACACAAATAAAAAAATAACTTACAAGATTCTTACCTTGAAACTTGCTTCTTTCCCTATTTTTATATTATTAATATTACTAAATATTTTGTTTATAAGAATTAAGAAAAAAAGACTTACATTTTAAACCAATATTCAGATTCCTTTAGGTCTTTTTTTGTTCCGATTCCGTTTCGATAACAATAACCAACTTGTTGCATTCCTTCGGCGTAACCCATTTTAGCTGATTTCAGATACATTTCAAAAGCTTTTTTCAAATTTATTTCAACTCCGAGTCCATGTTGGTAACATTCTCCAAGACTATGTGCTCCCAGAATATATTTCATATTATCAGCTTTCTGATAATATTCGAATGCTTTGTTTTCATTCTTTTTAACTCCAATTCCATTTCTATAAAAATAACCAAGCTTATGTATTCCATTAACATGACCCATCTCTGCAGATTTTTGAATATAATTGAAAGCTTTGCTTTCATCCTTTTCAACTCCAATTCCATTTTCATAACACCATCCAACATTATATGTTCCATCAGCGTCTCCCATCTCTGCAGATTTCTGATAATAAATAAATGCCTTATGCTTATCCATTTCAACTCCAATTCCATAGTTGTAAAAATAACCAAGCTTATTTATTCCTTTAACATGACCCATATCAACAGATTTTTGAATATAATTGAATGCTTTGTTTTCATCCTTTTCAACTCCAATTCCTTGTATATAACAGTTACCAAGTGCAAATATTCCTTCAGCGTGACCCATCTCTGCAGATTTTTGAATATAAATGAATGTCTTATGTTCATCTTTTTCAACTCCAATACCTTCATCATAACAATATCCAACATTAAATGTTCCAAGAGCATTTCCCATCTCAGCAGATTTTTGATAATATTCGAATGCCTTATTTTCATCCTTTTCAACACCTATTCCATGTTCATAAAAAAATCCAACATTACATGTTCCATTAGCGTCTCCCAACTCTGCAGATTTTTGATAATAAATAAATGCCTTATGTTCATCTTTTTCAACTCCAATTCCATAAAGATAACAATATCCAACATCATATGCTCCATCAGCGTGTCCCATCTCTGCAGATTTTTGATAGTATTCAAAGGCTTTACGCAAGTCCTTTTCAACTCCATTACCGTACCAGTATTGCTCGCCCTTGGAATAAAGTTCTACGCCAGTTTGGTTCATGGTTATAAAATGAGATGAAAAGATATTTTACAAAACGTCAAAAATTATTATATTGTACGTAGCTTTTTAATTATATGCATATTGAATGTTGAAGAATGTTTCCATAAAAGCAACTTTAATTATTTTATTAGAAATCCACACATGAACGCTTGTGCTCATAATTGCTGATCTTACGATAATTAATTTCATAGAAAATTATCGGTATTGCTTTTTATTCACAAAAAATTTTATAGAAAATTATCGGTATTGCTTTTTATTCACAAAAAATTTTACAACATAACTTTAAAAATATCATTTAAAAACTTAAAAAAAATTTAATTCGAATGATACTATATAATAAAACTATCATTTTTTAAACAAAAACCAAATTGACGTTATATTATGCAGTTTTTGGGGATATGCTTTTTGCTACTTTAAATTAAGATAACTTATATTAAAAAATATCAAATACTATTTTAACAGTTTTAATCTATAATTTCTAATTACAGATTAAGTAAAGATAAGATGAGTGTCCTAATTATGCCGGTTATACCATCAAGGCACCTAACCTAAGTATTGCTGAATATTGACCTGAATGTTTACGACCTGAATATTTATGACCTGAATATCGTGACCTGAATCATGCCTGAATATCATGACTTGAGTGTTATGACTTGATATTATAGCCTGAATAATATTACAACTCGGATATTATGATCTGAATATCATGAGTGTCATGATCTGAATATTATGATCTGAATATTATGATCTGAATCTTATGACCTTAATAATACAATCCGGATATTAGCCTGAATATCATGACTTGAATAATATAATGATAACCTAAATAAGATCTGAATAATATTACAACCCATATTATGACCTGAATAGACCTGAATAATAATGATGACCTGACAATGATCTGTACAACATTACAACTCAGATATTATAACCTGAATAGACCTGAATAGTTTTATGATGATCTGAATATTGACCTGAATATTGACCTGAATATTGACCTGAATATTGACCTGAATATTATAACTTGAATACCATAACTTGAGTATGACCTAAATAATATTACAATTCAGATATAATGATCTGAATAGACCTAAATAATATTACAATAACCTGAATATTAATTTGAATATTGTGACTTGAATAACATAACTTAAGTATAGTTTGAATAATATTACAATATAGATATTATAACCTAAATATTTTAATATAACTAACCTAAATATTAAATTTTATAACTTGAGTATTATAGGGGTGTGGTGACCTAGTGAAGTGGTCGGTTGTCAACCTTCCAAGTGGTAGGTTGGGTGTTCAAATCCCATCGATGGTGAAAATTTGGATAATCACCTATGTAATATTCGTATTAT